TCAGAGAGAGAGAGACAGAGCACAAGCAGGAAGAGCAGCAGGCAGAGGGAGGAGAAGCAGGCTTCCTGCTGAGCAAGGAGCCTGACACAGGACTCAATCCCAGGACCTGGGATCATGAGCTGAAGGCAGAAGCTTAACCAACTAAGCCACCCAGGCGTCCTCATGGTACATATTAAAAATGTTGGTCAGCCGCAACTGCCCAGACTTAGTCTCAGGCTAGGCCCTGGGATCAAGAATTTTTTTGGAAGGTTCCCCAAGTAATTCTAAACTGGTAGTCAGAGTTGAAAACCACATGGTGTCATAATGACCAATCTCCTGCGGTTTCCGACTAAAATTAGCACATATACCTAGGAAAAAAGTATGCATAAACTGCCATTCATCTACAAAAAGAGAATCTTGAAAGAATTATGGGGCTGCTATTTAACAAAAACAAGAACAAAAGAGAGAGAAAAAAAAGACAGAGAGGAATGTGAAAACAGATTCCTAAGAACAAGAAGTGAGATAGTACCAGGTCAGGCCAGATGGCAGAAAGAATCCAAACATGCCTCACCTTCTGCCACTTATTTATTCTTCCCTCACCTGCCACCCACTTGCATCTGGAATCAGGAAGGATTTTTAGATAAAATGAAAAAAAAAAAACAAAAAACAAAAAACAAAAAAACAGCAAAAGAAAAACTAATGTTGATTAAAATAAAAATATAATTGGATTTTGGGAGATGCAGATAAATAGAGGTTTGGTTCTAAGTTAAATAGAACAATCTCAGACAAAGACAATGGAAAAGTCTTCTCTCAGAAGAGAGAAGGCCTAATTCAGGACTGACATCAATGGAAAGATCAATTCCTTCAGGCAGGAAATCAGAAATATTTTGTTTTTCAGGTTTTAAACTTTTGTAACTGGAAATGGGAGATGAAAGAACACAGCAGGGGCTCCTGGGTGGCTCAGTGGGTTAAGCCTCTGCCTTCAGCTCAGGTTATGATCCCAGGGTCCTGGGATTGAGCCCCAGAGCCCCACATGGGCTCTGCTCAGCGGGGAGCCTGCTTCCTCCTCTGCCTGCCGCTCCCCTTGCTTGTGCGCACTGTGTCAAATAAATAAAATATTAAAAAAAAAAAAAGAGCAGACCATACAGAGGAAATAAATGCTATTATTTCAAAATGAGATTAGCAACAGGCTAAATAGAAGAGCCTTTGTAGGAAAGTATCACTCTATAAGAGTCTATAAGAGGGGACGCCTGGGTGGCTCAGTTGGTTAAGCCACTGCCTTCAGCTCAGGTCATGATCCCAGAGTCCTGGGATTGAATCCCGTATTGGGCTTCCCCGGCTTTGTGGGGAGCCTACTTCTCCTCCTACCTCTGTCTCTCCCCCTGCTTGTGCGCTCTCTCTTTCTGTCAAATAAATAAGTAAAATCTTAAAAAAAAAAAAAGTCTATAAGAAAAGTCATTCCAGTATCAGTAGCAAACTGGACCGTTCTGACAAAATAAAGCTTAATTTTCTCACTTTTTCATCTCCAGGCCACCTTCTTGAGTATAACCTAATGATCAAGGAAGATAGGGAAAAAACAGCTAATGTAAATTCTTTATCATTCAAAATAACTAAATAAACACCCACAAGCAAAACCGAAAGGGTTAAAACTTCCTTATGAGTTCCAGCTTATGATAATAACTAACACACAATGCCTACTATGTGCCAAGCACTGTTCTAAACAATTTAATCATATTAACAAATTTAATCCTCATCAACCCCAAGAGGTAGGTACTATTATTAGTTCCACTTTACAGAGGAAGAAACTGAGGCAGAGAGAGACATTGTAGCTTATGATAGATAGATCATGCAGCTAATGAATGGCAGAGCTGAGATCTGTCTGAACTGGGCCATCTGCTTCAGGGTCTGTGCTTTTTTTTTTTTTTTTTAGATTTACTTATTTTAGGGGCACCTAGGTGGCTCAGTTGGGTATCTGCAGAGTCCTGGTATCAAGCTCCATATCAGGCTCTCTGCACAGCAGAGAGCCTGCTTCTCCCTCTCCCTCTGCCTGCTGCTCTGCCTGCTTGTGCTCTATCTCCCTCTCTCTATCAAATAAATCAATAAAATCTTTAAAAAACAGATTTATTTGAGAGAGAGAGAGAGTGAGTGCACGCAAGCAGGGGCTGGGGTGGGGGGGTAGGGGAGAGGGAGAGAGAAAATCTCCAGCAGTCTCCCTCTTGAGCGCAGAGCCTGACTTAGGGCTCAATCCCATGACCCCAAGATCATGACCTGAGCTGAAATCAAGAGACGGTTGGTTATTCAACCGACTGAGCCACTCAGATATGGGGATGCGGGGATGTCTGTGCTCTTATATTCAAACCATGACTACAGTCAAAAGTATTAAAGTTGTAGCTACTTTCTTGATACAAATATAAGAAATGGTTCAATAAATAGTTCTGTACCACAAACTGTTTCTTCATTCCTTGCCAAAGTAGCTCATTTCTTAAAAATCAAATTTTTGCTTTTGTGTTATTTGCACTTTAGGAACAGGGTAGTTTAGGGGAGCCTAAGCTAAGCCTTTAGAAATTTGTTTTACCATCAAGTAATAGCTGGCCTTTGACATCAGTCAATAATACAAACATCTCAATCACCCTGGCTAACAGACCCCTCTAAATCCACCAAAATAAATCACACAAAGACTTCAGGGAAAGATCAGAAAAAGGGTGGAGGAATCTGCAAGACTTCCTTTTCCCAAATTCAGCATTTCATCTCACTGGCTAATTCACTACTGAGTCTATAAAGACATTCATTTTGTGCTTATATGAGCACAGAAAGGTCATTAGACATTTTGAACCTCTCACAGACATGGCACTAGGTCTGAAATAGGAAAAGGGTTGGGAATGAGCAGCGATAGAAAAAAAATGATATAGGGTATCTTACCACACCGTACTTAACTGATTACTTTTAGGGAACAGCTTCTATGCAAGGATATGACTGGTATGCACAGACATAGAATGAGGTAATGGGGCTGACCTAAAACCAGATCCTTTTATTTTTATTTATTTATATTTTTTAAATAAAGACTTTTTTTTTTTTTAATTTAACAGAGAGAGAGAGATCAGAAGCAGGCAGAGAGGCAGGAGTGAGAGAGGGAGAGGCAGGCTCCCCGCCGAGCAGAGCGCGATATGGGCTCGATCCCAGGGTCCTGGGATCATGACCGAAGCTGAAGGCAGAGGCCCAACCCACTGAGCCACCCAAGTGCCCCGACCAGATCCTTTTTTTTTTTTTTTTAAGATTTTATTTATTTATTTGACAGACAGAGATCACAAGTAGGCAGAGAAGCAGGCAGAGAGAGAGGAGGAAGCAGGCTCCCCGCTGAGCAGAGAGCCCGACGTGGGGCTCGATCCCAGGACCCTGGGATCATGACCTGAGCCGAAAGCAGAGGCTTTAACCCACTGAGCCACCCAGGTGCCCCCCGACCAGATCCTTTTAAAAGACACACAATCGTGGGGCGCCTGGGTGGCTCAGTTAGTTAACTGTCTGCCCTCAGCTCAGGTCATGATCCCAGGGTCCTGGGATCAAGCCCTGCATGGGGCTCCATGCACAGCAGGAAGCCTGCTTCTCTCTCTCCCTCTGCTCTCCTACTCCTGCTCTACTGCTCTCTATCTCAAATAACTAACCAACTAACTAAATATAAATAAATAAATAAATAAATAAATAAATAAAAGACACACAATCCACCTTGAACCTGCAAATGCTACTCAATTACACAGCTTGACAGCATGGTTGCCCTCATTTACTATGGTATTCTGCCATCCAACCCTCCACACCTAAAACTCTTTGCTAAGAACTAGTTTCGTTTTATTTACCTTCTCGGTCCCCAAGAACCCCACAATAAACCCAGTCAAATACAGATTCTTTTTTTTTTTTTTTAAAGATTTTATTTATTTATTTGACAGAGAGAGATCACAAGCAGGCAGAGAGGCAGGCAGAGAGAGAGGAGGAAGCAGGCTCCCTGCTGAGCAGAGAGCCCGATGCGGGGCTCGATCCCAGGACCCTAAGATCATGACCTGAGCCGAAGGCAGCGGCTTAACCCACTGAGCCACCCAGGTGCCCCTCAAATACAGATTCTTAACAGGAAAATGACTGCCATAAGTGTCTACATTTCCAGAGGAACCAGTAAGCAATTTAGTGATATAAAGCAAAGAACACTGCAGTAGAAAGGTGTGATTTATGTTCCTCTCTACCATTCAATAATTGTGTGATCCAAGAAGCATAATTTCCATGTCCTAAGCTTCCCTCACTTGTGTAATAAAGCTATCACCTTACTGGCCTTAAGGCAGAAGAATAGCTCATATATTCTCTTAAGATCTCTTTCGTAAAATTCCTTGATAATTCAACTCCACAAGGATTTGTTTCTTTCACACTGGGGAGAAAAAATGATGAAGCCAGCCAGAAAGTCAAAATCCTTACAATCAGTGATAAGGGAAGACTAAGGAACTATTGGTCTGAGAATGTACGACAGTAAGGTATTCTTTATTACAGCCCTTCTACATCTCTTAGTCTAGCATTCAAAACCTTTCAAAACAGCTCTTCTCCCAGTTCATTTCCATCCTTATGTTTTGCTTATGCTGTAACCTTCCTCTAAACCTGATACACTTTTCCATCTCTTGCTTGCTTCTCCAAGATCCCAAATCTGAATTCATCTTTCCATTAGCCTTGCCCTACACCAATCCCACCCTCGACCTTCTCTTTATCATGTACTACATCCTTGCTTCCCCACAACTTTACACTTTGATTTTCCCTTTGGGTTCCTTAGGTCTTGGGGGAGGGAATTCAGGCTCTGTATAAACAAACCTCATACAATCAGGTTTGGGGGAAAAGTCCATTTTAAAGATAATAAACTAAGGCGCTGAAAAGTTTCAAGATACTGTGAATACCTGGGGTGCCGGAGGTTTGAGAACAATCTATGACGGGGGAAGGGAGAAAATAGCCACCCAAGCACTTTCCAAGAGAGCTTTTCTAGGCACAATTCTGGTTACCTGTTTAGGGTCCTGTATGCACCTTCCATGTTCCCTTCCTGTACCATCACAGTCCTGGCAATGAACTTCAGATGTTTTGCCATGACCTTGGAATTTAAATCTTCACTCTGCAGCACCTAAAGAATAATGAATAAAGGAAGTATAGAGACCAGGTAAGAAAGAGAAACACAGCAGAATGCACACTCTACCGCGTGGCTTACTCAGGGTCTGGAAAAGCAACGTCCCCGGGAACAAGGAACACAGGGGCACGTGGAAGTCTTCATGTCCTAGAAAGGATACGCTAATCATAATCAAGACTGCCTAGCTCTCTTTGCCAATACAACCCTAGCATCGGGAAGAAAAGAGATGGTAGCGGGGCGTCATCACGGAGATGTACGTGGCCGGGCACGGAAGGATCCGGACGCGCCACAGGGTACACTCCAGTTACCGCTCACCGCCCCAGGAGGGTTTGGGGTGGGAGATTGGTACGTAATCTTTCTCAGGCAAGCGTCCCCTCCTGCCACACTCGGCTTGCTTTCCCCATCCCCAAACCCAGATCCTCACCCCACGCCCTCAGGAACCGGCCCCTGCAAAGGTAGCTCGCGGCCGGAAGCGGAAATACGTCATCTCTTGCGCCGCGCGAAGAAATCCTGGCTGGAAGGAGAAAAACTGCCTGGAAACCATGGCAACATTCTTCCTGGCTCCAGTTGATGGCTTCTCCACGCCCTCCATCCCAACACCTCCGTCCCGGACTCTACACCTGATATTTGTTGCCTTAAACTCGCCCAAAACAGGTTCCTCGTTTTCTCCTCCCTCGGTCTCAGAAGGTCAGCGCGATTCCCTACCCCCAATCCTATCAAATCTGTAATAGAGATTTAAGTCATTTATTTTTCTGGAAGGAAAATGAGAGAAATAGTCAAAGCTTCCTGAACATGCTTCCTGTTTTCTCAAAGGACCAGATTCTTTGAGATCTGCTCTCCGGAAAAAAACAGCTTCACGCCCCTCATCTGCTTAAAAACTAAGGAAAAGAAACGGAATGAACATAACATGACTTTTTAAAAACATCATCTGCCCAGGCATTTCACTAAATAAAGTGAGATTACTAAACAAAGAATTAGGAAACGCCTGAAGTTTTAGAATCGAAGACTTCTTTTTTCTTTCTTTTTTTAAATTAAGATTTTGTTCTTAAGCAATCTCCACACCAAAGGTGGGGCTTGAACCCACCCACGTCCCCCCCAGTCCCCCCCCCCCCCCCCCCCCCCGAGATCGAGTCTGGTGCTCCACGAACTGAGCCAGCCACGCGCCTGAGTTGAAGACTCTTTTATGACTACTATCCATTTGCCTCCCAGTGAGACCTAGTAGTAATATCTCCTTTATTTCTTCACTGTGGAAACAGCTTTTCTTTTATTCATATGTTACTTAACATATCCATCTGTGGTTATTCACATAAATTCAGATCTAGTGGCTACTGGAAAACAGTACAGAAAGACTCAAAAAAAGAAAGGTGCACAAGTGTCCCACACAGGGCACCTTGCTCAGCGGGGAGCCTGCTTCTCCCTCTGCACTCCTCCCTGCTCTATCGCGCTCTCTCTTTCTCTCTGACAAATAAATAAAATCTTTTTTATTTTATTGTATTTATTTGAGAGAGAGAGAGAGACAGTGAGAGAGAACATGAGCGAGGAGAAGGTCAGAGGGAGAAGCAGACTCCCCGTGGAGCCGGGAGCCTGATGCGGGACTCGATCCCGGGACTCCAGGATCATGACCTGAGCTGAAGGCAGTCGCTCAACCAACTGAGCCACCCAGGCACCCAATAAAATCTTTTTTTTAAAAGATTTTATCCATTTATTTGACAGATCACAAGTAGGCAGAGAGGCAGGCAGAGAGAGCGGAGGAAGCAGGCTCCCCACTGAGCGGAGAGCCTGATGCGGGGCTCAATCCCAGGACCCTGGATCATGACCTGAGCTGAAGGCAGAGGCTTTAACCCACTGAGCCACCTGGGTGCCCCTAAAGCAGAGATTTTTTAAAAAAATATATTAATTTATTTGAAGAGAGACACCGTGAGAGAGGGAACACAACCAGGGGGAGAGTGAGAGGGAGAAGCTGGCTTCCCATGGGGAGCAGGGAGCCCAATGCAGGGTCAATCCTAGGACCCTGGAATCATGACCTGAGACGCTTAATGACTGAGTCACCCAGGTGCCCCTCAGTCCTGTTTTTGTAAATAAAACCTTATTAGACCACACTTGTGCTCATTTGTTTACATATATTAGATATGCCTGGTCTGGGCAACAAGGGCAGATTTGGGTAATTGCCTTCAATCACACAACATTTGTCATGGGAAAAAAATTTGTCATGGGAATCAAATGGGATAAAATAATTTTTTTTTAAATAAAAGAAGAGGGAAAGTAACATTTTTGAGAATCTGTTATATTCCAAAACTTGTATGGGCATTTTATGTGCATGATCTCATTTGATGAAATAAAGCGCCAAAGACAGCTTATATATCATCTTTAGTGGAGAAAGTAATTGGTAGAAGGACTTGAGTTAGTCTCTTAAAAGGGGGTAGGGTTTAATTGACAGAAACAAGAAAGGCTGGGCAAGGTGATGAGCATGAACAAAGGTTTAGAGTTAAAAAGTCTTAACTTCATCAAGGGTGAATAAAAAAGTGAACAGAGGTATCAAGTAGGGGAACAGAAGGAGAAACAAAGACTTTGACTAAAGGCTTTGAACTTCTCAAAGCACTGAGGAGCCGTTGAACAATTTGAATAGGAAATAATATGCGGGGGTGCCTGGGTGGCTCAGGGGGTTAAGCCTCTGCCTTCAGCTGGGGTAATGATCTCAGGGTCCTGGGATTGAGGCCCACATCAGGCTCCCTCAGCAGGGAGACTGCTTCCCCCTCTCTCTGTCTGCCTCTCTGCCTATTTGTGATCTCTGTCAAATAAATAAATAAAATCTTTATTTAAAAAAAAAAAAAAGGAAGGGGCACCTGGGTGGCTCAGTGGGTTAAAGCCTCTGCCTTCAGCTCAGGTCATGATCCTGGGGTCCTGGGATCGAGCCCCGCATGGGGCTCTCTGCTCAGCGGGGAGACTGCCTCCCTCTCTCTCTCTCTCTCTCTCTCTGCATCCCTCTCTCTCTCTACCTGCCTCTCTGCCTACTTGCGATCTCTGTCTGTAAAATAAATAATATCTTAAAAAAAAAAGGAGATGACATGCAAAACACTGTTCTAGGAAAAGTACTCGGTATCAGTGAGACGGGATTAGAAGTAAGAGAGACTAATGCTATAATTAAAGTTTAGGCCAAAGATGTGGCAATGAAATGGGTAGGAAGAAATGGATTTTAAGAGACATTCCAAATACAGAACAAAAAGGATTTGGTGGGACACCTGGGTGGCTCAGTAGGTTGAACCTCTGCCTTCAGGTTGGTCCAGATGCCAGGGTCCTGGGATTGAGTCCCCACATCAGATTCCTTGCTCAGCGGGAAGCCTGCTTCTCCCTCTGCTTATACTCTCCTCTGACAAATAAAATCTTAAGAAAAAAATATATATATAGGATTTGGTGACTGACTGGCACCAAGTTTTAAGTTTAGTTATCTAGAAAAAACGAAGGTAGCATAGATAGCGTTAACAGAAGAAAAAGCGTATAATAAGGAAGAACAGGACATCTTTAAAGGAAAGATAATATTTTGATCAGTGACTTCTGGAAAAAGCACCAGACTGGAAACCCTGAGTTCTGTACCCATGTTGTGTTGTCTTGCACAAGCCACCAAAATTTCCTCATCTAAAAAATTAGGGAGGTGATGGTGCACCTGGATGGCTCGGTCATTAAGTGTCAGCATCTGCCTTCAGCTCCAGTCATGATCCCAGAGTCCTGGGATCGAGCCCCACATTGGGGAGGCTCAGTGGGGAGGCTGCTTCTCCCTCTCCACTCCCTCTCCTTGTGTTCCTTCTCTTGCTATGTCTTTCTCTGTCAAATAAATAAAATCTTAAAAAAAATAAAAATAAAAAGGGGAGTGAATGATACCTTTTGGCTCTAAAATGCTGAAATTTTCAACAGTATTTAGGTGTCAATAACATATAAATAGAATTGCTCAGCAGAGATGTAGACTTTCAGCATGTCTTCCAGGGGAGAGAGTGGGACTAGAGATGGGATTCAGAAGTCCTCAAAGTTGAGGCAATAAAACCATGAGAGATGAAATCTTTTTTTTTAAGATTTTATTTATTCGAGAGAGAGACAGTGAGAGAGAGCATGAGCAAGGAGAAGGTCAGAGGGAGAAGCAGACTCCCCATGGAGCTGGGAGCCCGATGCGGGACTCGATCCCGGGACTCCGAGATCATGACCTGAGCCGGAGGCAGTCGTCCAACCAACTGAGCCACCCAGGCGTCCCGAGAGATGAAATCTTTAAGTGAAAGAATATAGTCAGAGAAGAGTAGAGGATCAAGGACTGAACCTAAGGTAATACCCATGCTCTGGAGCAGGCAGAAGTGGGGCCATTAAGAGATAGAGAAGTTGCTGCCAGGTAGGTAAGAGGAGGATTAGGATAGTGTGCTGTCATGGGATCCAAGGGAGGAGAGTTTCAGTAGGTAGCATCAAGAATGTCAAATGCTGGGGCGCCTGGGTGGCTCAGTGGGTTAAGCCGCTGCCTTCGGCTCAGGTCATGATCTCAGGGTCCTGGGATCGAGTCCCACATTGGGCTCTCTGCTCGGCGAGAAGCCTGCTTCCCTCTCTCTCTCTGCCTGCCTCTCCGTCTACTTGTGATCTCTGTCAAATAAATAAATAAAATCTTTAAAAAAAAAAAAAAAAAGAATGTCAAATGCTACAGAGAGCTTGAAGCACATAGCCTTTGTGCTTGGATCTAGCTATTGATTTGGTGGAAGCTACATTAGAATACTTGATCCTGGAGGCTCCTGGGTGGCTCAGTGCGTTAACTGTCTGCCTTCAGGTTTGGGTCATGATCTCAGGATCCTGGGTTCAAGCCCCCGCACTGGGCTCCCTGCTCAGTATGGAGTCTGCTTCTCCCTCTGCCCCTCCCCGCTGCTTGTGTGTGCATGCTCTCTTTGATAGATAAAATCTTTTTTTTTTAATTTTTAGAAAAGATTTTATTTACTTATTTGAGAGAGAGAGAGAGCAAACACGAGCCAGGTTGGGGGTGGGTGGAGAATGGGGAAGGGGCAGAGGAAGCAGAAGATTCCTGGCTGATCTGGGAACCCAACGCAGGGCTGGATCCCAGGATCCCAAGGATCCCTGGATCCTTGAGGAAAAGAGGAGAAGGAGGACAATCAGACTCAAGAGATGTTTTCCAGAAGGGGAGACCTGGTCCCACTTGTGGGAGGAATAAATATTATTTGTAAGAGAAAAAAATAAATAATTCAAGAACAATGTGAAGTTACAAGATAAAGAGGGGATAAATGATACAGCAAAAGTTCCAGAGGAGAAAGGTAATCCAGAGCACAAATGGAGAGGTTTGCCTTAGAAAGGAGGTCATGCGGCAAGCATGGGGGCTCAGTTGGTTAAGCATCTGCTTTTGCCAGGTCATGATCTCAGGGGTCCTGGGATTGAGCCCTGCCTGGGGTTCCTTGCTTAACAGGGAGTCCGCTTCTCCCTCTCCCTTTGCCCCTCTCTCTGCTCATGTTCCATTTAAATGAAATGAAATGAAATGAATGAAATGAAATGAAATGAATGAAATATGAAATGAAATGAAATATGAAATGAAATGAAATAGAAAGGAGGTCATGTTCTCTGAAACCAAAGACAATTGTTCCCTGAGAACAGGGACTTGAGAAATAGGGGAAAGATGTATAACTAGCTGTGAGAAACATGCTAAGTAGCCAATAAACAATAACTAAAAGGAGCAAGTAGTCTGATACACTGCCAAGGCTTAGGATGGGAGAAGACATGGTTTTGGTGGAAACTGGGACAAATGAGTCAGTGTGATATACAGAGAAAGGTAGATGTAGATAAATTAACAGACTTTCATGTTTGCCTCCTGATAACGCTGGGTAGCTTTCTTTACTCTTGCATACATTTAGTTGCAGCCTTTTTTTTTTTTAAGATTGATTTATTTATTTTAGTGGGGGAAGGGCAGAGGGAGAGGGAGAGAGAGAGACTCAAGTAGGCTCCATGCCCAGCATGGGGTTTGATTTCACAACCCTGAGATCATGACCAGAGCCAAAATCAAGAGTCAGATGCTTAAGCTTAACAGATTGAGCCATGCTGGCGCCCCTCCTGCAGCTTTTTGAATAAAGATGTGGCCCAGTGTCTGAGGAGACTCCCCATTCTGCCAGTTCTAGGGCACCCCTTCCTCTTTGAAACTGACAATGACAGTGGGTGTTCTGGTTCTTGTGTCCCTCCTCTGCCCACAGAAGATGACATATGCATTTATCCACAAGCATCAACAGCTCTCATCAAAGCAGAGAGCTATCCCAGAGGAGAAGAACCTGCTAGTCTGGGCCAGCTGGAAGACTACAAAAGGTAAAGGTACTAGTCTCTTAGACTAAATGAAAACACAAGCCCAATTCCAAACCCTATAACCATCCCAGGAGTGGTCCTTGGGAAGCCAGCTGTAGTCTCATTTGGTCTCCACAGAGAGCAGGATTTTTGTCATCATTTTTGTCCACAGGATTTTTATCATCCCATCCAGACTTCTAACTTGCTGGAGCTCAGGTGCCTGGGTGGCTCAGTTGGTTGAGCAACTGCCTTCAGCTCAGGTTATGATCCTGGAGTCCCGGGATCAAGAACCGCATTGGGCTCCCTGCTTGGAGGGGAGTCTGCTTCTCCCTCTGAACAGAATTCTCCCTTCTCATGTTCTCTTTCTCTCTCTCTCTCTCTC